TAAGTATAAAAAAATATAAAAAATATGAAAAATGGATCTCATCTAGAAAAGTAACTTAAAATTAGAAAAGTCAACACTTGAACGTAATATTGTAATATGAAAGTATGTACTGCACGATTAGATGTGTCATGCTCAAGGAAATAATATTAACTGAACGGCAAAACAATATGTTGTTGAACAATATGTTGTACAGACGGCGTCATTAATTCGAAGAATAGGCGCGGGGATTACATAAAAAGTCCAGTTGATCCAAATATCCATTAGTCCCAAAATCGGGTGTCCCGTTGTGGACACCCGATTGCTACAAGTGAGTTAGTACGGCGCCCGTTGGCGCTACGAGCAACCGCCCCGCTTGCCCTCCGATCCCCGCGCCTATTCTTCGAATTAATGACGCCGTCTGTACCTTGAGCATGGCACATATAATCGTGCAGTACATACTTTCATATTACAATATTACGTTCAAGTGTTGACTTTTCTAATTGCAAGTTACTTTTCTAGATGAGATCCATTTTTCATATTTTTTATATTTTTTATATTTTTTTATATAGAAAATAGACCTTCCTGCCTTTGGACTGCAGATGGTGGCAGTGTAATAAATAAACTTAGTGTGGAATAAAGTGATTTATTGTGTTAACGTTTCGACCGTCGATTACGGTCATCCTCGGCCACGCTGAATAAAATAACAAAGTTAAGGAAAATTACAGAATATCAAGATTACAAAATATTATACAGTTCCACAATAAATCACTTTATTCCACACTAAGTTTATTTATTAATACCGCTACCATCTGCAGTCCAAAGGCAGGAAGGTCTATTTTCTATCTAATTTTTATTGTATTACTGCTTGTTTTCCAATTATATTTTTTATATTTTTTTATACCTATTTTATTTCATTTTGTAAATTGAAATTTGTATTTATTATAGTCGGTTGACTGAAGATGACTTAAATATGAGTTGAAACGTTTCGACACACACAGTTTCGTCTAAATTATTGCGAATAAAACCTTGCACTTGGTTCCTATTGGCCGATTACTCATACAAAAAACTTGATTTTATCATACGAACCAGAGGGGACGTCCCTCATACCTACACATAATATATTATATTTTTATTTCTTTATTGATATTTTATCAACGGTTTAATTTTTTTTTTTAAGGCTTCGCAATTTCGAGGAATACAATTTTTCCATCGAAAATGTGATAACAATATGTGTTTTAATAAGAAAAACAAAATTTCGATAATGTTCTCTTGCAACACAGTCCCCAGTGATTTAGCGCAACAATTCTTGATGCGCTTTCCGGATTATCCGCGTAGAGGAGGAAAAGGGGGAGAGGGGGGGGGTGAGAAATTTTCCCGTGGAGAACAATACGGCCGGGTCAAAAGTGATGCTTCGCAGTGTATACGCTCGCGCGTACTCTCTTCTCTTTCGCTAGTGAAAGTATTGAAGCCAGATGGAGCTGTACGCGCAATAAAGAACGATAATGTTCACCACGCTCCGAGATACACACAAGAAAACCGTAAAAAGGTATGGTTGCGCCATTATATGCCGTTGCCCGGGGGAAGGGAGGGGAGGGGGGCGCGTGCTTACAAGCAAATTTATAGCGGCATTATTCCTATCAACAAAGACATCATTGTTATAGCTTCTAAAGTCGCATGAAAAACTAAAATTCAACGATGTGTTCGAGCGTTCCCATAACTTCACATTCCTAACTTCGAGTCGCGCGCGCGCGCGACGAACGATATTGCGATAATAGATTTATATTCCGGGAGACGCACAAATCATTTCTTTTCGAAGAAGACAAGGGAGAAAGGGAAAAAACGAGAATTTTAAAGAGTTTCGACGAAAGCTCCGTTCGTTTAAAAAAAACAAAAAAAAACAAAAACAAAAAAAAATCACCTTTAGAGATTTTTTAATCTCTGGCGTCCGGATATACATAGATAATCCGATTGAACTTTTCGCCTGAACGCAATCGGCGGCGCCACGGTCAAAAAAAAATAAATTTTCACATCAACGACAACGTTGTTCCACGGTTTATGCGCCGAGCCTTGTCTTCCATTTGTAGCGTTAAACCGTGAAATTGCGCTCGGCCGTTGCACTTGCGACTGCGATTGTCGATGCCAGACACGCCGGAAGTCGACTTTATGGCAGAGCCGGGCGTGCGCGCATACACGGTGGACGGACTTGAGGCCGAAAAGGGGAATGAAATTGGAGCGAAAAAAGAACTGCAGAATAAAAACTAAAAGTTACGGGGGCGGCTGCTAGAACCGTGCCAAAAAGGGTTGAAAGCGCGCGCGCGCGCGCTCTATTCTCTTTCCCTCCGCTGTTCTTTCGTTTTTCGTTTTAATTTCACGCCCGCGCCAATTTTCGGGCTTTTCGCGAACGCGCCCGCGCCCGCGCCCGCCCCCGAGAAAGAGAAGAGAGGTCATCGGCGTCGATTTATTATGTCACGCAAAAGAGCCCCAGAACAAATCGTTCGAAATCCATTCTCAAAGAAGAGATCTGGACCTGTGCAGCCGACCGTGTCGTCATTAATTTCTCGACTATTCAATAGACGCGCGCGGCTCTGTAATCAAAACGAGAGACGCTTTTTTTTGTATTTTTATTTTATCTTTTATTATATAATATTTGAAACTTCCCGGTACAATCTGAAACTTGGAGCGTTTGTGTGCGATAAAAAGAAAAAACAAAAAAACGATAACGCGCGTTATCGCATTGTATATCAAAGTGACGATATCTCTAAACGCCAATATTGCGTCGAAAAAAAAAAATCCTATTTAATCAGAAAAATACGCGCGCGCGCGCGAGTTGATCTCGCTCGCGAAAATCAAACTCGTTCTCAATCACGGCGTATCGATTACCACCCCCCGGTAGCGAATCGCTCCAGTTGCTAGATGTACGTTAATGAAATTAATGGGTAGCCGTAGCAGTCGTACATTACCGGTTAGCCAACGTTCTCGACAATGACAGAACCTAGTTGGCAAAACAACTTCGATAAAGCTCCGGATTCGTTCCAACAGTGACGAATACGCAACACAAACATTTTGGATTTGGGATTCCGCGTTTCATATTTTATCCTCTCTCTCTCTCTCGCTCTCTCTTTCCTTGGCTTTGTTTTGTTTCCTCCGCGTCTCTATTCTCTTTATTTCCTTTTCGCGTAATTCGGTGCGAACACGCACAACACATTCGTTATTCTATTAATATATATTGCTGATGTATGTTTACTTTTTGATAAGTATATATATATGGTCTAGAGAGATTAATTATTATTGTTCTCTCTTCTCTCTTTGCTTCGTTCTTCTTTTTTTCCCGCTCTCTCCGTGCTCTCCGCGTTTCTCTCATTACGGTTATCGTCTTCTCTACGTTCTCTTTAGTATTGGCGGAACAGGCAGCATCTTAACTCGCTGCAGTACCGATTCGGAACTAAGCTCGTCTACTTGGCAAATGCCCTTTCGTGCGCCATTCGGCACGGACGTGTACGTACGTAATCGCCTTAGAATCGTCGATTCCATTCCAGTGCTTGCTAGAACAGATAGCTTTCTCCGGTACGGCGGACTCGCCGTCGTCTACTCGACAATCGATTTCGGAGACTATAGGGGTATAGTTTTAGGTCCAAAAGACTACTACGTCTATGATATATCCAAGAAAATGATATATCCTAATTATATTAGGATATTACAAAGATATCAATTTCTCGAGATCTCTCGTTTATAAACAATCGTTAAGATTTATAGAAATATACAGTTAGATATTGTGTTCTAAGCGATGAGAGAATGAGATTAAAAAAAAAAAGAAAAAAAAAGAGCAAACATAACAAATTACGTGTTCGCTCTCGCCTCATCCTCATCTCCGGCCGCGGATGAACTTCGTCATTGGTTAGCGGAATGTTCCGCCCCAGAACGTCGTTAATTCTCCGGCGAAGACGCCGGAGAAATTGAATCGCATCTAACGCGTCCGCGATGATCGAGCTTGCGGATAAGCTCGCGCCAACGAGGACCATTTCTAAAATCCCGCGGCTAATAGCAAAATGATACATTTGCTGATTTGTAATCCGCGATTTTTGCGGCAATTAAAACGCGGAAAAAAACGACGCGTCGTCGTTCTCACGTGTAGTAGGGATAAACAATATTATTATTGGCCTTCCAACAGTAATTGGCCATGTAGTAAAGAAGTAATAAATATAAATAAATATTATCATTATATTCTAAATTATAAACATTTTAATATTAATTAAGTTTTTTTCTGCTCCGAATAAAAGTAATATTGTAGTATTTAAGAAGCTCAAAAACTTATTGTTATACGACGAACATTGGCCAACTGGTCAATCACTGTTTTTAAGATTATGAAAACCATATGACAGTCATTGGTCTCTTATTTTGAGTTATAGATACAAATGTAAGTAGGTTAGGTTTGTTAGTTTTTAATGTGTTATAAATAAAATATTCATTACTATATCTTCAAGAGTCAAAACAAAACATTTATTACGATAACTGTTATGTAAACAGATACTAACAGAACTCATATGGCCAATAACTGTCTATTTTGACTGTAAGAAAATATTTTATCAAATTTTGAATAATTTTTCAAATTTTTTAATAAATTTATTAGTTTATTTGCAATTGTTATAGTTTGTTTGAGCTAGTAGTACTGAAGATTTACTTCAAGTTATTAAATTTAATTTTATAATTCACTCTATATAGTACAGTTTTTCCTTAAGTGGCCAATCACTGTATCTCTTATCTTCTGTATCCCCTATATCGTTTGCGAAATCAATCGCAATTAATAATAATTGCATACGCGCGATATTTCTCTGTAGATTAATATATATTTAGCTTCTTTTTTTTTTTTTTTTTAATTTCACGATGTAAACTTGCGCCTCTCTCGAGCGAGTTCTTTCTTACAGTTCAATTATTGCGCACGTAATGCAACAACACAAGAAGAAGGGGAGAGAAAAAGTATTTTGCAGAAAACTCGCTAACTTTTATTCTTGTTTTGTTTACAGAAGATGGGTTCGGTGCATGGCGAAGAACTTCCATTCGTCTTCGGAGCGCCTTTATGGGTGGAGGGATTTGGCCATTTTCCGAAAAACTATACGAGACTGGAAATGGCGCTCTCCGAGAGTATCATGCAATATTTTGCGAACTTCGTGAAAACCGGGTAAGCGAATTATACGAAGTTTAATCATTCTGTTGAATGTGAAACCTTAGCGAGAATCGCAAGAAGTGTGTCGCAAATATCGTAAACTTGCTTGAAAACGGAACTAACTTTCATCCGAACACACGTTTGCTTAAAACTTGGTTCGAATTTTTAATTTTTCCTCGTGAATATATTTAAAAAAAAAAAAAAAAAATGGTTTTTTCTTTTTCTTCTGAGTCACGTGTGACATCGCACGCGCGCACTTGGCGCACGCACCACTTGCGGAATCAATTTGCGGCAGACAAAAAGAGACACACCAAAGCTTCGAAAAGTCTAATTTTCCATATTCATGAATGAACACACACACACACACACACACACACGTCGGGCAAAAGCTCGGCTGATAAAGGGTGAGTGATAAGAGAAAAGAGAAACGTGTAAATGACGGCCGCAGGGCGGAGAAAGAACACTGTTGGCGAAAATCTGGCGGGCAGATTAGAAACAAATGTATTTTTTTCTGGGGCGTGTTAGCGTCGCGCGACAGAAATTTTCGTGTTCCGAAATATTGTTTCCGCTTGTTTATCGCGACGGATCTGTATTATTTTATTTTTGTTGTTTTTTTTTTTTTTTTTTTAAGTGCACCGAATCAAATACTTTACATCAGCGAGCGCGCGCACGCGCGCGTGTCACGCCTATCAATAATATCGTGAAAAACTATGCCGGTAAATATTCCAAAAAAAAACCAAAAAAAAAAAAAAAACATGAAATATTCATAAGCGCGAGCATAAATTCCTCCGAGTTTGCGATCAATAGCGCGTTTGTTTGCCAAAAACTCCACTTATTGACAATCTGTTACTGTAAAATAAACGTGCTACGCATTCCTGAACTGTTTATTACAACCGGGAAAACATCAATAATTGAATTTCGAGAACGTCAGACTTTCACAATCTGTATACACATTTATGATATATGAGAATTGATTTAAATTTAATTAATTTGATTCGTCTGGAGTTTTGGACGCACTCTTTTGCGACAAATTTTGTCAAAAATTTTGAGAATAAGTATTTTACTGAGTATATATGTGATTCAAACGTAAGTTGAAACTTTCCATCGAAAAAAACTTCAAGAATTCACCAATTCGAAATATTGTATTTTTTTTTTTTTTTTTTAGAATTTCAGTCAAGTATAAATTTTCTAAAGCCGAAGAGACATGTTATCCCCAAGAAAGGGCTTGCCTAGGATTATAGAAAAATTGGACGATTTGGTGCCCCGTAGAATTGCCTTCGGAGTGCGCAACTGTTGTACACAGCGATGCTGCCACGGCCACATGCTAAGCCAGCTTTTACGTATTTAAACATGTATAGGTGTGCGTGACTTCGCGAAAGCGCAAATGGAATATCGACGAAAACATGAGAGATACATATATTTCATACAGTTGAAACATTTCACCTAGAGAGATCGCATCCTTATTTTTGAGAATTATTACATCTCTCTCCGGAATTCTCCAGAAAATAGAACATGTCTAACCGCGCAAACATCTTTTCGCACAAACGTCCGTTTATTTTTCGCGGTGTAAAAATTTATTTAAAAATATTTAGCTTTAATGTTAGACTTTACCTCTTTTTTTCCAAAGTGTAACGGATTTTTAAAAAAATTGAAAGATATGTTTTTTCAGAGAAAAAAAAACGACGCGCTTCCCGAAATTTCCGTAATCTGCCGTAAAAAAAACTGTATTAACGTCTAAAAGTTGACGAGGTCTGTGTGTGTAATTCGTCCGATCAACTCTAATACACAAAAGATCGTGTACACGTAGACAACTACACCGAAAAAATTGTATTCTTGTTTTGAGGATATCCCACTTACTTTAAGTAGATTTTATACTAAAATAAGCGCCAAGAAGAGTTTCTTATTTTAAGAGGAAAATCCTCTACAAATAATAATATTGATAAGAATATATACTGATTAGAATATAAAAAGCCTCTATGGAAAAACATATATATCTCACTATCGAAAAAGACTATATTCTTAAATTAATAATATATTCTTAAAAAAAGAAAATAAATTAAATTAAG